GGGCCACGGGCAGGGCCAGGGGTGAGGGACAGGCAGGGCCATTGCAGGGACACATTGTGAGGGCACAGCCTGTGGCACCAGAGCTACCCAGGGCCGGGGGCAGCCAGGGGTGTTGGTACCAGCCACTGCTGGGGCCCAGCAGAGCACGAGGCCTCTTGCAGACCCCTGGAGCAGCCTCCCACTTGCCAGCCCTGCCCTGGTGGGGTGACACTGTCCCCTCCCTCCAGGACACTCCCCCTGAAATCTTTGGGGGGCCTTTTGTGTATATTCCTGGTTGCTGATTGATGCTGGGGACCTGTGGGAGCCTCTGCAATCCCATCCATGGGGCACAATCTCCTCTCCAGAGCTTGACTCACTGCAGGCTTTGCAGGGAAATCTGTGCTTGCAACCTGAGTATGTCCCGACCCCTGCGCTGCCCCCAGGATATTTGGGACGCGTTCCCCCTTCCCGGGCACCAATGGGATGGGGAGGTGATTGTTCTCCTGATGTTGCTGCTCAGCCCCTGTCCCTGCCTTTCCTGCAGCTGTCGGGTGAGCGGAGCGGCCTCGATGGGAAAGTGGCGAGAGAAGCAAAAAGAGTAGGTGGGACCCCCAAGGGAGCGCGAGGGGCGCTGGGTCACCCCCAAAGGGAGCTGGTGGGAGCTGGGGTTTGGGGCACTGTAACAGGGAAGGGTGAATACTAAATTCAGGGGAAAAGCAGGTTCGAGAGATTCTGGAACGTGAATAAACCAAACACCGTTGCTAGTTGGCAAAAAGTAGCTATTTATTAGGAAAAGTGGCAGACAGGGAAAAAAAGGGGAAAAAACTACAGGCGCCTGAGGGAAAAGGATTAGGGCGGAGGAAAAAGTACATAAAAGACCCTAGGAAGGAGACTTCCCCCCCCCATACTCACCCAGATGTCACCTGTAAGCAAGTCTTACCCATCCTAACCAATAATGAAGTCTCTCTCCAGCAGTGCATGTTCCTGGGGGGGAGGGGGGTGGCAGGCTCCCACTCCAGCAGGCGTCCCCGCTAAAAGCAACTTGGTCCATCGTGAAGAGCCTGCCCCCCGCCAAGAAGCGTCTCTGCCTTTATAAAGTTTTTTGAGAGCACCTGCCCCGGGGAGGTGTGGCCAGCACCGCCCCGTCAGGGGCTCTCAATCCCACCCTCTTGGTTATGTAAGTGCACCCCTCCTGCGCATGCGTGAG